CCAGTGGTATTCTGTTGTAATTTTCTTTGGGCTTGTCTTGTAGCAAGGTGTTCCTTGGTGTCATTCTGGCCTTTCCAATCATCTTTCTCACCATATTAGGAGGATTTTATAGCTGCAAAAATGTCTGCTGTAGATCCTTCAAGTGCGTATTTCTGTCTGAGGGGTTGGAGCAGATGTTACTATAGTGTAGGGCTTGGCTATACACAATGGATTGTTAGATGTGGCTGGGATGGTAGCTGGAGGCATATAGATATGTTTGCTGATGTGTTGGTTTCCAGTATGATGTGGTACTTATGTGTTCCTTGTGTATCTGTACTGTAGTGTCCAGGAAGTTTATTTCTTGTGTAAAGTAATTCATAGTCAGATTGATAGTGGGGTGGAAGTTGAGGAAGACTTGGTGAAATCTTTTGAGGGCTTCTTTGCCATGGGTCCAGACAATAAAAAGGCCATCAATGAATCTCAAATAAAGGAGAGGTGCCAATGGGTAGGAGTTCTAGATCCACAATGAAAATGTTGGCATACTGTGGAGCCATGTGGGTACCCATGGCTGTGTCATTGATTTGGTGGTATAAGTTCTCACCAAACCCCAGGGAGTTATGGGTGAGAACAAACATGTAGAGTTCAGTTGCAAGATCCACTATAGTGTTGTCAGGGACAATACTCATCTCTTTCCTGGGCAGAGGCATACAATTTTATTCCTAAAATTATTAAACCTATTATTTAATCCTAATATTTCATCCCCATCTGGAAATTTAAGAGCTATAACAGCAAAAGACTATATATTCAGTGCTGCAAGTTCCTCAGTGCCATTCTGGACAGGAAATCCTTGCTGTATTGCTTTTGTATAGGATCTTTTTCAGAACTTTATATTAATTCAACTGTAGTGGCTGATATTGATGCCCTGAATGAATGGCTGAAAAAGATTACCAGGATTTATAATACTAGAGCCCTGACAAACTCATGCCAAAAGAAAGTGAACGATCATTGATAACAGAATTAGCCTAAATGTATGCCTTATTTACAACCAATGATTTCACTCTAATTTTATTGAATTCCTGAACTTCTCCCCACACTTTGTGGTGACTGCAGAGGAAATCAATCATGCATAATATATGACCTGACAAATGAACAAGTAAACTACTTTATTTAAATCCTTATATTTGTCACAAACACCTAGGCTATAATGGGGGTCTGCCCACCATTTTAAATAATGCATACATTGATTAGCTCATCTCAGACATTTACTTGCATATTATGAAACTCTCTTGGGTGACTTTAAATCTCTTCAGTTAGGAAATCAGACAAATGCCAAATGAATATCAAAAGAGGAAGCTTTGTATTAATGACACACATTATTAATGTTTAGGCACATAAATATCTTCTTGGTAACATAGAACCTACATGTATATAAACTATATGAATTTATACTCCAGCTTCAGGGTTGGGAATGCATTTTTCCATGGGGACACAGGCTACTGCTGTATATCAATAAGTGGGAGTGTGATTGTGAGGAGGGGTGATATTGTAGCTCATCCCTCCATCCAGGCCTCTGCTCAAGTGAGGGCTGGCAGACACCCTTTTCAGCTCAGACCTTAAATAAACCTTTGTTGGTCTTAAAAGTGCCAATGGACTCTAAATTTGTTCTACTGCATCTTCTTCTGTGTTACCTGGAGAGTACAGCCTGGAATTTCATTATTGTTCCTCTCCCTGGCCCTCTTCCTGGGAGTATGGCAAGTTGAGCACACTGTCTCCCTGGATCTAGCATATCACATAGACTTTTCTTCTGATGGGAGATCAGGAACCATTTCAGTCACCCTCACAATCTTTTTCTGCCTCTGCCTACCAGCCAGCCACTATGTGCTACTGCTGAACAATTGCCAAAGTTGAGACTCTTTAAAGGTTAGTTCCCCCTCCCTCGGGCAGCATCCTTCCCACATTCCCACAACAGCCAGCAGTTGGGGGCAGGGATTTTCCATTGCTTGATGGAAGCTCCACACAGACTCCTTCATGTATTCATAGAAACATAGAACTGGAAATGACTGTGCACTGGAACAGTTGGTCACAGAGCCAACCAGAGGGGTGAGGATCTTGGACTTGGTTCTGAGCAGGTCTCAAGACCTTGTAAGAGATGTAGAGGTTGTTACACCAGTTGGTAACAATGACCACAATGCTATAATGTTCAGCATTCAGATCAATGGAAAATTACCCCGATATTCCAAAATAATATTGTAATGTCCCTGTATAGATCTATGGTGTGGCCTCTTTTGTAATACTGTGTACAATCCTGGTCCCCATATCCCAAAAAGGACATTGCAGAGCTGGAAAATGTGCAGAGGAGGGCAACCAAGATGGTTAGGGAGCTGGAGCACCTTCCCTATGATGAAAACCTGAAGAGTCTGGGACTTTCAGTTTAGAAAAGAGGTGACTAAGGGGGGACATGACAGATGTTTATAAAATTATGCATGGGATGGAGAGAGTTGACAAACATAAATTCTTCTCCCTCTCCCAAAATGCTAGAACTCGAGGTTATCCAATGAAGCTGATGGGAAGTAGGTTCAGGATGGACAAAAGAAGATACTACTTTACACAAAAGTGATAAAATGTGGAATTCGCTGCCAGAGGATGTAGTGATGGCCACAGGCATAAACAGCTTTACAAGGGGATTAGATAGATTCATGGAGGATACGTCTATCAATGGCTACTAGCCATGGTGACTGAGGGGAACCTCCACATTCAGAGGCACTAATCCTCTGAATCCCAGAGCCAGGAGGCAGATCTCAGCATCTATGCCCTGTTGTAGGCAATCTAGAGGAACTGGTTAGCCACAGTGTGAGACAGGATGCTGGATGAGATGGACCATTGGTCTGATCCAGCAGGGCTCTTCTCATGTTCTTACGGAAAGGACCCTAAGCATCATCTAGATCAACCCCCTGCACAAATGCATGAAATCCACAGCTACGTCCCCTCCACTCACCCAGTGACCCCCTGCTCTGTGCCCAGAGGGAGGCAAAAAACCTCCAGGATCCCTGGGCCAATCTGGCCTGGAGGAAAATTCCTTCCTGACCCCAAAGTGGCAACTGGCATTACCCTGGGCATATAAGAAAGGGTCACAAGAGCCAAGCACTGGCTCATCCCTTCCTGCCCTCCCTCTCATCATCTGCCTAAATTCACAGTGAGTCATAGAATCTGCATTACTGTCAGATGGCCATCCAACCGCTGCTTAAAAACCTCCTGAGGAAGCCTGTTCCACTGAGGAAACCCTCTAACTGTCAGGAAGTTCTTCGTTATGTTTAGCCAAAAACTCTTGTTTTAATTTCAACATGCTGGTCCTGGTCCAACCTTCTGGGGCAACAGAAAACAACTGCAGTCTATCCTCTATAATGACAGCCCTTCAAATACTTGAAGATTCTTTGTACATGGTTATATTGAGTGCACAGGGTGCAGATTTCCCATAGCAACCAGAATGTGAAACCAGGGTTTGAAGTTTGTTTGCAAACCAGTTGAGATTGAAGCAACTTAATGTAATTGCAGTATAAGAATAAACCATGGTTAGGTAAGGGAAAGGAAAATTCATAGTTGAGAGATCAAGGAGGGAAGAGGGAACATACATTCCTGAGAGTGCACCCCAATTTGGAACTGCAGTATCTGGGACACCTCCCCCACAGATCACTATTGCTTCAACCACTACTTATCAACTTATCAACAATCAACTTATCCTACACACAAATCAGTCAAATGTCCCTGATCATGTTATTTTTAATTATTGCTAACATTGATTTTATGACTCAGTGTGAGAAAGAATGTGATTCATGTTCGAAATCTAACAAAGAGAACAATCTAGCACTAGGGATGGGCACGAACCTCGCCATTATCCTAATTTCATCATGAACATGGCCGGTTCATGTTTTGTGAGGCCTCAGTTTATGAGATCATGTCGCCCATGAACCGCCCATGTTCGGTTTGTGTTGGCGGTTCATAAGCCAGACATGCTGGCACCGATCAATTAGATGTCAAAGCAACAGGGGGGGATGGACTTGGCATCCCTTGCTGTACCTGCCCATTGACTTGGTTTTCCAACTTGTTACCCACCTCCTGTGCTAAACCTCCCCCCTTCTGCACTTTGGACCCTAAGATCCTCGACTTCTTTGCCTCTGGGCACCTGTCCTCTGGGCTTGGCATCACCAGCTGCCCTTGCTGTACCTGCCCATTGACTTGGTTTTCCAACTTGCCACTCCCCTTCCATGCTAGACGTCTCCCCTTTGTACTTGGGACCCTAAAATCCTCATCTTCTGCCCCTCTAGGCACCCTCCCACCAGGCTAGGCATCATCAGCTGCCCTTGCTGTACCTGCCCATCAACTTGGTTTTCCAACTTGTCACACCCCTCCTGCACTAGACTTCCCCCCTTTTGTAGAGGGGTATTCCAAGGAAGTCCACTGCAATTTTGATGCCTCTAGTTTGCAGAGGGACTGTTTGAATTGGCACACTTCTGACATTGTGGCTGCTGTGATTTCCCCAGAGATCACTTTCCTGGGGGCACCTATTTTGTGAGGCTGCTACTCAGCCCCCCAAGCCAATCTGCACACAATTTGGAGGGCAGGTAGAGGAACCTCCTAGGGAGTTTGATGCCTCTAGCTTGCAGGGGGACCATTCAGCACACTCCTGGTTGTGATTTCTGCAGAGAGCACTTTCCTGGGGGAAGCTGCTTCAGGAGGCTGTAATCCCCCCCCCCCCAATCTAATGCTCACCAAACCTGGAGGACAGGTAGAGGAGAGTCAGCTGGAGACTCACTGTGAGTTTGGCATCTCTAGCCCATGGAGAGCCACTTTACCACATCATGAACCTTACAAAATGAATCGGTTCAGTAATCAGGAAGGTTTGTGAAAGTTTGTGGTTCATGGTTTGTGGGACCCCACGAACCACAAACCAGGACCAACCTCCAGTTTCCCAGTTTGTGCCCATCCCTATCTAGCACTTTAAAACTGATTTTGAAATATCATACCCTGTGTGTATCATTCTGCTTTTGTACTGTGGGAAGATCTCCACCAATAGGTGCCTGTTGTTTTAATTCATCTTCTTTCAACTGCAGCCACGCTAGAAGTTCCTGGAGGGAAAGGTGTAGCCGTCTCCACTGGTCAGAACTGGCTTCTAGATGAGACCTGGAAAACATATTATATTTATAGTATCCAAGAAATGTGGAATAATATAAAATCTCTATGCAAATAGTCAAGCACACAAGGATGATCAGGATGATACCATGCTGTCCTATCCCCTTGTCATATCATTGGTTTCAGTCTCCCCTACCATTCTTTCACTGGGGTTAATATTTACATAGAGACTTACACACATAGGGTCAGCATATCAAAGGGGCAGTGTTCTTATGCAGTGAGTTTGAACAATCATGTGGGGCTAAAGACAACAGAAAATAATACTGCTTCTAAAGTGGACACCAATAAAAAAAGGATGCTATCCTACTTACTTTGAACTCATTGGTAAAAATTTTTTTGATTTTAATGGGCCAGGATTGCCCATTAAAATCAAACAAAGATTAAAGCTTTCCGTCTGTTTCCCACCTACATGTTTTGGCTATACTAAACCCTTCATTATAACTTACTGCTTCTACTGAGCAAGAGGCCATCTTTTACATTTAACTGAAGAATGTGAAGCAACTATGATAAACCAGGATTACTATTTTTACTTGATTAATGCCATCAGTATCTAAACTATAGCAAGTGAACTGGAGAAAAGCTCCTTTATTTTGGCTAATGTGCCATGTTTCTTTTCTCATGCCTTTTTATTTGCTTAGTTCATTGGTAACAAGACTTTTGGAGAAAAGACTGCAAAAGCTATAATCCTTTCTTTCGCTTGCCTATAGAAAAATAATTTTCTGTTTTCTTCAGCCACAAACATTTTTCACCTTCACATATTGCATTAACTTTTAATTATTAATATTATGAAGAGTGCTTCTATCATTTATGCACTGATATCCCTCAGCACTCTGACTGCAAAAAAGCAAACATTTCATATATTGCTTTGAAAGGCTTATGCCACTAGCCACCCCCTCAACTC